TATATTTATATTTATATTTATATTTATTATAAATACTGATTTTTTTGCAGAGGCCTAAAGGTAGACAAGTCATTGTTGGGATCATCTAGCAAGTACATGGCAATGGTATGAAAAAGAGGAACTTGGATCCCTGTAAAAAAAAAGATTTTTTACTGTAGAGCTTTGGCTATAAGATCATCCTTCCCTCTTTGCAGAGAAGGTCAAGAGAAAGTAAGTTCTTAATTTCCCCATACCTCTTGCAGCTGAGCCTTGTTCTGCTTCAGTAGGTAGGATTTATTTCTTCACTTAGATAAGGGCCCACTGGAGACAAGGTTCCCTGTTTCACTTCACCCTTAACAAAAAGAAACTTGCCGAGTGGATCGTACTTACTTCCTGTGCAAAGCGTAATTTGTCTTGTTTTCTTCCTGCATGGCATCCTGTCAAGATGGCACAGCCTTTGCTGCTCTTCTTAGGAGTCATACCACTCCGTGTTGCATGTGGGCTAATAGTTGTAGAGACAGATTGTACTGTCCAAGACCATGATCAGTTCTTTAAGGTTGCCATAAAGCATTGCTTGAGCCTCGCCCAGCAGATAGTATTATTCCAGAGCACTATTAGTGGAAGAGCCCATGTGTCTTTAAGTGAATGGTGCCAACAGGAATGGCATGTTAGGCAGGGCAGCTGCAAAAGCTCGGCCTGAAACACGACCACCCTTGAAACCCTATCTCTACTCCACTGACCCATGCAGGCTGACTTCATACTGCTGACTGACTGTGTGGGTTGTGTCAATGCCTGAAATGTAACTGCTTCCTGGCAGCACGGCAGATCCTGCCTGTATGACTGAAAACGTGTTACTCGAAGCAGAGACGAAGTTGCATTTGTGTGTCTTTTCTGTAGCTGACCACAGAGAACTGAACTCAGAGGATCCCTCTTGTGCCTGTGTCCCAGGTTACCCGAGTGGGAAGCATTTGCTTTCCTTGTCATGCTAAAGGAAGGTCCGGGGTGTGCCAAATAGCTATAAAAAATGAAAATGTGAGATGACGTTTCCCAAGGATGCTTCCCAACAGAGCCTGTTACCTGTCGGGTGAGAGAATCCTCCCTCAACTAAGGATTTCCCCACCAAACACGCTTCCATGTATTACACTCCCAAACTTTTATGCAGGATGGTGTCCACATAGGTGAAGCTGGGTCCCAATGGCTCATTTACTCTAGCTTTATCCCTTGCACTCACAAACATGTGCCTGTGCAGATCTTTGCCTCATGCCCCTGGGTCTAAAATGCCCCATGAGATAGATGGGGCTGCCTGGCATACGGGAAGGCTGCGCTGCAGTGCCTGGAAAGCATTTCCCAAGAACCAACCTCTCTTCTTTTGTTAAGTCCTTGCCATTGCTACGAGCCACAGCGGGAGAGGGGGGTGACCTTGTTCCTTTTTTGTGCCTTGTGAAAGTCACACTCTTGCAGGAGCGCAGAGCGGTGCGGAGCCCCACGGGTGGCTGGAGCTCACCATGATAAGCCTGTTGTTTTCCCCTCTCCTTTCCCCTTCTAGCGCTGTGCAGGGCTTATCTGGACGCCTGAGTTATGTTAAGTAGAGAGTGCGTGCCTGCTCTCTGTTCTCCTCGTTGCTTTTGCTCCTTGGATTTCAATTCCAAACATGGTTATCCATTTGGGGTCTCTCCCTTCCCCTGCCAAGTGATACACATTCCACATTCAACACCAGCTCCCTCCGCTGCTCTCTCACGGTCGCTATTTCCAGTGCTGGAGGGCTGGCGAGAGCGGCAGTGCAACGAGATCTCTGTCCCGTCTGCAAGTTTTCCAGCTAATGGCCTCTATTCTTTCTTTGACTGAGCTCTTCTGGCCTTATATTTGCCAGCTCCTTTTCTCACTGGTGTGGCTAAGGAGGGAGCCAGACACCAGTTTGTGAGCCACGAAGAGGCGAAACAAGCCCTTTGGGGATTTTTTCAGGCGCGAAAACATTCAGTGGCACTTTAACATGTCGCTCTGAAGCACACTGCTGTGGGACCGGCCGGTGCTCAAGAGGAGGAGGAGGAACAGCTACACAGCAGCTCTGGTTTCAGACGTCTGCAGCACCCTTTGTGTATGACAACTCGTTTTGAGCTCAGGACGGCCGGGGAGGGTGGGGAGTGGGGAAGGATGAGCGCAAGCAGCCTCTCTTGGGACCAGGCTGTTCTCCAGCCTCCGGTGTGTGATGCCTGGAAGGAGATTATGGAGGGAGCAGCCTACCAGCTGGCCAGCTGCATCGTCCTCCTGGGATACATGGGGGGAAGTGGCATCTTTGGGTCCCTCTATATCTTTGGCCTCCTGGCCCCAGGCTACTTCTGCTATGCTCTGTGGGGCTGGCTGAGTGCCTGCGGGCTGGATATCTTTGTCTGGAACATGCTGCTCGTCCTTGCCTGCTTGCTTCAGCTGGCTCACCTGGCTTACCGGCTCCGCAGAGACACCATCCCAGAAGAGTTTGACCTCCTCTACAAGACCATGTACCTGCCCTTGCAGGTGCCCTTGGAAGTCTACAAAGAAATCGTGAAGTGCTGTGAAGAGCAAGTCCAGTCGCTAGTCAGAGACCAGAATTATGCGGTGGAGGGCAAGACACCCATCGACCGCCTCTCGTTGCTCTTGTCTGGCAGGTAAAGGCTCTCCTGTTTCAGAACAAAGTCTGACAGCAAAGCATGGTGACTTGTTGCTGCATTCTCCCCCTTTCTAGAAACTGGGGTGATGATCGTTTCCGTCCTCTGAAAGGGCTTTGAGATATGCATCTGCTTGTTGGGGGTAATTTGCTTTTGGGGGTTGTTTTTGTTTTCTTTTGTTTTTCTAAATTAGAATATTTCAGAGAATGGTTTGCAGAATCAAGCTATGTGCAGTGAAGTGGCCAGCTCAGCCTTGCCTGTGATACTGTTGTGGAATCCTTACCTCTTTCTCTGTCATTTTCAAATGATCTTATTTCTGATGGGAGCAGACTGACCATGAGAGAGGATTTCTCAAGGCTGGAAGGCGGTGTGTCTGGACCTGTGGTCGCTGGGGGTACCAGACGTACCTCCATGATGTGAATGGCTGTGCACTGAGTGCGTTGAGTACTCAGTTCACCTGCTGTCCCTGGCCAGCAGTGCTCAGGGAGAGGTTCCATCCCTGTTCTCAACACCTCAACCTTCAGGGCACAGAAATTTTTCACTTTGAGCGTCATTTCATCAAAAGAGAGAGAGCTCTCCTGTGGTGGATCCCACCTTATCAGGCCTCTTTCTTTCCATTCATGATGTTCCTTCTTCTGGACGACCAAGGAGGACCTCAGAGACTTCGGGATAGTTGCAGCTGATTGCCTGGCAAGCCATGCACATTTGCTATTCATTTACTGGAGTGAACTGTGCTGATGAAGTACTGGCATTTGTTCACCTGAGATCCTGTGGCATGCCCCTATGAACACATCTCTTTGCAAAATCCAAATGCAAGGCAAATACTTATGATATTGGCTTCCCAGCTCCTGCCAGGTACTTGGCACTAATGTCAAGTGAGAGTGGGAAAGGAAGGAGATCTGTAAATGGGAGCAGTGCTGAGCTGTAGGAGGTGTGTCTCACAAGGATTTTCCAGCAAAAAATGATGAGACAAACCCAGCATCACCAGGGGCTTGTGTTTTACTGCGGTGGTCCATCCCCTCTGGTGGGGGTGAGGGAGTGTGCAAAGAAGAAATGTTGTCCTTCCTTTTTTTGGAGCATCCTGGGACCACTGACCAGTGCTGAATGGCAAAGCACTGGGAGGAAATTGGGTATGTGTATTTCTGTTAGGTGTCTTTCCCCGTACCGAATGTCTGTGCTGAGCAGCTTGCTCTGAAGTTTACCATATCCACAAATAACGTTAGTGGGGAAGAGTCTGTGCTGTCTTGCCCTGCACTGGATAATCTGATGCTACTCTGGTCATGACAGTGCTGCAACGAACAGTAAGCCAGTGCTGGTGGGGTAGTTGTTCTGCTCTCTTTTGCAGTGGTAAGTATGCATCTCGGATGGTATAGGATGCTCTGTGGAGATGGGATTGGATTTGCATTTCCTGGTACCAACTCTATTGCCTTGTGAGGTCTTTGCAGTCCCAAGAGAGCGTTGCTGCTATCATGGTGCCCCCTCTTAAACTGCACAATAGCAAGGTAAAGGGTGCTTGGAAATGCAGGATATGCCTGAAACAGAAAAACTGCCTTGCTATCCCTGACCCCTCCAGGCAGCAGTCTTGCAGGCTGAGAAGTCCTGGTTTAGGGTCAAGCATTGTACCTCTGAGGGCTGGCTTTGTAGCAAGAAACAGAAAACAGATGGCATATGGTGAAATGGCAGCAAATACCGTTTCCTACAGAGAAAAGAGGGACAGCCCCGTAGAATGGAGCATTTGCAGCTGTCCCGGAGAGGGTATGAAACACACATGAGATGGGGAGAAGTCCTTTCCTCTCTGGTGGGACTGGCTGCCTGCACGTGTGTGAGCTGATCAGGTTCATGTGACATCTATTTTGTGGCCTAAGCCTGTGCATCCCACCTGTCCTCTCTGCAGGGTCCGAGTGAGCCAGGATGGACAATTCCTTCACTACGTCTTTCCTTACCAGTTCCTGGACTCTCCAGAATGGGAGTCGCTGCGACCCTCTGAGGAAGGAACTTTCCAGGTAATGCCGCGCAGCCCCGCAGCAGCCCAGCCTTGCTCCTTGGCGCTTCATTGCGTGCCTGAGAAGGGGACAGAGGGGGCTCATTATGCTGTTCAAAGCTAACTGGGAATATTTTCCTCCCCTTCCTCATGGCTTAACCAACACAAGACGGTGCAATCAGCTGTGTTGTCTTTTTTCCTGCCTTCCTCCAAAGACCTCAGTGTGTGCTCCTACAGTCAGCTCACAGCAGGGAGGGTGGAGAATGTTGCCCCTTCCGGTTTAGCACAGAGGTGAGGCATCAGATTGCTGGCTCACCTCCATTACCACACTCCCTAGTACCTGTATTGATGCATTTGCCCTGTACGCTGCGAGCAGGGTGCATCGTTCCAGCATCAGGATGGCAGTCATGGTAATATGCGGCAGTGATGTAAATCCATAAATATCCCGTTCCTCACAGAAGTTTCTGATGGTGATGTGTTAGGGGTGGGAAAGCAGAAAGGATGATTCACACCCGAATATGGTTCTTTCTGAGGAAAAGAATCCCTTGCTGAGAAGCCAGACCAATTCTTATTTGCAGCAACTGAAAGGATTTTACTCTTGCTGTCAACACCACAGTATTTGCTTGGCTTTCCTTCTGGAGGAGATTACTTAAGCCCACATCTGTCTGCCTTTAACTCACATCCCAGGACGGGCTGATCCCTGTCAGGATGTCCATCTAGAATGTGTCAGTTAGAACATGAGGAGGGATTTTGCTAATCCCTTGGGAGCATGGGACAGTCATGAGGGAATGTCATGATGATGCTTTCTCATGAGGGCAGCCACGTTCAGACTTGGTTAAACCAGGGCAGCTCTCCAAATCCGCTTTCCTCAAATCTGAATTCGGCCCATGTGTAAAAGGATAATGGCAGTCGCTCCTGAAAGCTATGCCATCGCCAGTGATTACAGTCTTGCAAGAGGAGCAGTTGCAGGAGATGGCTGACTGTGCGACTCTGGCACAGGGCTTACAGCTTGTGAGCAGAAATAGGCATGTTGGGCCAAGATAATGGGGTAGAGAGGGCAACAGCAGCATGGCTGTGCTAGGGGTATCTCACATTTCGCACAGGGCTTCAGTCTGGCAGGAGACAGCTGCTAGCTCCCAAGGCTGTGTTTGTGTAAGAGTCGAGCAGAGAGAATGATGGCTGCCCGGTGGGCATCTTGATGGCCTGCAACCTGCAAAAACATCTTCAGCATTTTCTGAGCTAATTTCTGTGGAACTGAATGTTCCCAGACCGCCTGAGTGTCTGTATCTGTGGTGCGTGAGACAGCACCAGCCTTGCCAGCACCACACTCTTGGCTCCTCTCCGGCTCTGTGAGACGAGGCTGTTCTGGGACGTTGGCTGCGCCTGGCATGGGGATGGGGAGGTAGAGTCCTAGGTGGGGAAAGGCTGCAGCCACGTGCTTGGAAATGCCTAAAACCCACATGTGCTTACTGGGGAGCATGAAAAAGTAGCAGCCCATGCAAGACCAGCATTCAGCAGATGAGACTAGACCAGTCCATATTCCTGGCCAGGCATTACTCCTGATGGCCATGCTTAGCCATGGTGATGTGCTGCTTTTGGCAGCTGTTTAACTCACCAGTCCCTCTTACTTGAGTAGTTAAAACTCTGTGGCATATCTCAACCTTATTCCCAGCATCACAGTCATTTGGTTGAAAAAGTGCACGTTCGACTCTGGACTTCACTGCAGGAGGGCAAGGAAGGTTTTTCTTGCCTAAGTTTTCCCCACAGCTCTCTGGATTGAGCAGTTTCAACCCTGAGCTCACCGAAAAATGGCAGAAGTGCAACTCAGTCTACAAGGTTTCCTTGTGCTTCTGCTTCAGCTGTGTCTTCTATGCTCAGAACTGCTGGATCCCAGTGCCTGAAGGAGTTGTGTTTCAGGGCTGGCACCTTCCACCAGAGGGCTGGATTATGGGCTCTGCTGATGCCAGGGCACTTGTGTTGGGCGATTCATCAGTAAAAACTGTCCTGCTGCCCTGGTTAGGAGGCAGGTTTTCTTATTACATCTCGCTTAATCCCTCACAAGAAGTTGAGGTTTTTGACCATCTGCCAGAAGTTGGTTAGGAAAATGAGATTATGGTCATTTCAATTTCCATGTGACCCTTCCTCTTGCTCGCCTTGGCCTGGCAAAGTTCTCAGGTTTTATCTCCTATATTTCTTTCATAAGGCAGCTGCTTGCATGGCAGCAGCGTTAAATATCAAACCCAAGGACACACACATGCAGCCAAGCCATGTTCAGCTTCCCAGTGGCCCCTTGCCATGGTGGCTGGCCAAGGAGACCCCTGGCTGTAGAGCGAAAGGGAGGCCCCGGGATGTTTTGGCTCTGGCACTTATTCGCATGCCAGTATCTCCATTACACTCGGATGTTCTTTGGCCCAAGGTGGCTTGACCCTTCCTATGTTTCATATCTTTTTTAATTATTATTATATTTATATATTACAATATACACTCATGTATTGTATTATGTTTTTTGTTATTATTAGAGTGGTCTTACAGCTAGGGGGAAAAATGGCTCTACTCCCATTGGCAAAACCCAAAGCAAAATGAAATATTCTCTAAAATCAGGCCAATAAAACCTCGAGTGAGTTCCCTCCCTACACACAAACACACTAAACCTTTTATTTCCTCTCTCGCTGAGTTGTGCCACATGTCCTTCGAGGCCATTCAGCCCTACAGCGCCCAGCAGAGCTGGTGAGACAGGATGTCCGTCTGGCACAGGATGACCAGGCATGCCTTCCAGGTGGCCCCTCCTGCACCCAAGGGCCTTCTCGGAGCAGGGGTTGTGCGACCCAGGAGCAGGACGGGCCAGCAGCCTGCCGCAGGGCTACCTGCTGCTGACTTGGACCGGCTGGGCGCACAGAACCCTCCTCCCTCTGTAGCATTTCTATAAAGGGATAAGGCCGTCTGTGCTGCCCTGCTCATGTCAGCTACATCAATTGAGTTTCAACAGGGAGCATCATCTGAAAGCGAGTGGGTGAAATGTAGCCGGCCATGTGGCTAGGTTAAGCAAGGCCATGTCACTAATTGCATAGGAAAACCAGGTCTCCAGCTCCTTGGGGAGAGGAAACAGAGGTGGGCAAGGATTTATCCGGTCACTCAGCTGGGACGATCTGGCTCTCCAGACCCGCTGTCCCCAAGGAGAGCAGGTATCAAAGGGGCTGGGGGCCTTCACTGGAGAGAAGCACGCAGCTCCAAGATGACTGACCACTGCCCAGGTGGTGGGGCTTACTCTGCTCCCTCCCTGCCCCACAGGTCACACTGACAGCTGAGACCGACTGCAGCTTCATCACCTGGCCAAGGAAGAAGCTGTACCTCCTCCTGAGGAAGGACCGCTACATTGCCCGGCTCTTCTCCTCCCACCTGGGCTATGACATCTCGGAGAAGCTCTACTCCCTCAATGAGAAGCTCTTCGCCAAGTTCGGCCTTCGCTTCGACATCCGCTTGCCCAGCCTCTACCACGTCCTTGGGCCAGCCTCCTCCGAGGGGGAGCCGGAGGACTGCGAGGAGCCACCGCCCACCTCTGGCCAGGCTGGCACCTCCGAGGCCCCTCCTCCACCCCCACCTGCTCCGCGCCCCCGGGCATCCCGGCCCGACAGTGACCTGCTGGGTGAGGACTCCACCAGTCTTGTCTTGGAAGATTTTGCTGAGTTGCCGGGGTCTTTTATGGACTATGTGAGCGAAGGGGAGTATATGAAGTGAGGGCACTCCTGGCATGGGCACGCCTCACCCTGTGTGGGACTCCCGCGTAAGTACCCGCGTGCGGAAGCAAGTCCTTCCCGCAATGCAACTACCCGGGCAGAGTGGCAGCCCTCAGCCTCTCACCCTCGTTTGCCATGGGTTCGCTCCTCTGCAGCGTTTTTTTGCCTGCTGCCCCAAGGAATCCCGGGAGGTGTGCTCCAGCTGTGTGATTTTCTTAAGGAAAAGCAGCAGGGAAAAGGCTCGACTGCAGGCACCAGCCACACTGTGGGGTGGAAGGGCCGATAACCCAGCTGTAGTGAGCTCTTCCCTGCCCTGTCCTCTCTCCAGCCCTCAGGGGAGGCAGAGAAACTGAAACGGTGTCCAGGCTGGTGGGTGGTACACAAGTGCCTGCAGAGACACCACAGGGCTCAGCCTGGCTCGCCATGAGATGGAGCTGTGCCTGGAGATATGCCAGTATTGAGCTGAGGAAGATGTCTGCAGGTGAGCATGTGGACAACCCAGGAGAGGCTGACAGAGGTAGAAACAGCCGCAGGGTTTGCAGTGGATTGAGAGCCGGGAGTTGCTGTACACCCTGCAAGTGCTCAGCCTGGGCAGGGGGAGAAAGCTCAGAGTCTTTCCTCCCCCTGCCCACCACAGCTCATCTCAGCACTCATTCTGTCCTTGCTTCTGCTGACCTTCGGCTCAGCCAGATTAGTAAGGTACTGAAAAGACTGCCCTGTGTGGTGCAGCTCTTGCCTCCAATCACCTTGGGTGGACTGACAGGCTAAACATTGTTTTAACACACCCCAAACTCTGCTTTCCGGTGAGTGGGAATGAGATGCTCTCTTCCAAAATGCCAACTCCTTACTCCGCAAGGGAAAAATTCCTGGGCCCGGTGGATATTGGGGCAGAGAAGCAACACAGGCAAACAGAAATAGACAGGAGGGTGGCTCGTGCTTGAAATTCAGATCCAAGCAGCCAAGAGAGAAATTCCACAGAGATACTTTAGCTAGCCGCTGCACGCCAGCTGTTGCACGCCAGCTGCGGACCCCGAAATGGGCATTTCTGCTGCCGTTCCTGCTGCCGCCCCATAATAGCTGCTTTCTGGCATCCAGCTGCCAGACACCAAGCCTGGGAGTGGGATTTCTGTCCTAGAAGCAACCATTACGTGTGTCCCAGCTGAGTCTGCATGGCAGGAAGGAAGTTCTAGAGCTGGGTTTTAGCTGGGGACACCGTCTTCAAGGAAGCATCTTTGAACTCTTTGCACTATTGCACCCTGGTCTTCTCTGTGCCTGCTTGGGACTACTGTTGGGCTGCAAATGCTCAGGTTGTGGACTTACTGGCAGGGAGCATGAAGCAGGACACACTGAATCCTGGCATGAGCCCTGGCAAGTCTGCCGTAATCTTTCCTACCCTACCGTGCTTGTGCACAAGCCTCACCACTGTGATGGCAAGGGAACCGTCCCTCCTAGATGCTCTTCGTGTAAAAGCTGTCTGGGTGAGACAGCACTTGCTATTTGCAGTAGGCCTCTGGTGGAAGAGACCTTTTCCACTGTTTCATCCAGTTGCCATTCTTAGTTTTTGAAAACAGCAGAACTGGAAGATCTTCCCATTTTGTACAGTTCTGCTTTGAATTGAGTCACGTGCCTGTTCCTGTATTGCTTCCATGCCTCCAAACTTAAAATCTGGGATATGAAGAAACTGGCCAGGGAAGGAATAAGTGTATTTGGTTTTGCTTGAATCAGATAAAAAGTTAGCAAGAGTTTTGCTTAGTCTTTTTTTTTTTTTTTAAATAAAAAAGGAGGCAGAGAGAGAAAAAGAAAAAAAATCCTCATCTGTTTTCTAGCTTAAAAATCCTAGGAATGCAAAGTCCCTGGTTTTGCTGGTAGACTGCTGTAGATATGAATTTGCAGCTTTTTCAGTCCTTACTTGGAGAGGCAGGAACACTGAATCACTTATGAGATAACCATCCTCCTAACTGTCGGGCATGTCTGCTGAATAGATGCAGTTAAAAATAAATGCAGTTAGTGTTGTAAGCGTGTTGAAGTCACTTTGTCTATGCTTTGCTTGGACGTTGTCTTCTCAGCAGAAGGGTATCCATTCTCATGTCATTGGCAGAATTCTCCTGGTTGATCAAGCTCAATAAAATCAGAATTTCAAATGCAACTATACAAGGAAGGAGGCAAGGAACACTGTAGCTTTTTTTTTTAATTGTTTCCACCTGTTTTGGTAATGAGTCAATACTGTGAACATACACACAAGAGGGGTGTGTGTGTATATGTGTGTTGGGGAAAGCTTGTGTTACATAGCACAAAGCTATTCTTTCTTTCACACAGTCCTTTTAAAACATGTTGGAAGCTGGAAGCTTTTGTCTTTCTAGATCTTGTCAATGAGGCAGTATCAAAGTGTGTTGATACTTAGTAGAGACCTGCCATAAAAGCCCAAATATTTCAGAGGCTGGTATTTGGGGTGGGAGAGGAGGATGATCTTCCTTGTCTGTCAGTCTGGAGACAATAGCCAGTGTGGTATTTTAATTTCTAAGGTACTTGGACAAGGAAAAACTCTGTTTAGTGTGTCCATAGCAGTGGAACGAGCACTTCCTTGTTACTCTGCTCACCACTTGGGTATCCTAATCACATCGCGTCCCAGCAGCACAACAGCAATTGTCACACCCAGACAGTATTCAACAGCGACTTGAGTGCCTAACCACAAAAACTAGTGATACAGAGGGGTTGCAGTTTTCCCTTCTGGACAGGCACTTGTCACAGCTCAGCAGATGATCTGAGCAGGTCTGCCATGGCCCAGGGAAAGCACTTTCAGAACCTTTCCTTTAGAAGTGGTGAAAACATCCGTAGTAAACAGGGATATTCCCTGCAGTGTCATTGTTCGAAGTAAGCGATAGCTGCAGTCCCAGAGGTCAGAGCTCACCTGGGGCTTTCCCCTGGTCTGGGCTCTCATCTCTTTCCACAGCAGCTTCCAGTCTGGGTGATCACCTTCCAGCTCTCTAAACTCCCCATGCTGAAATGCTTCTGTGGATCATGATCCTTTTCATTTTCTGTCACTGCAATGGTCACCTTACTATGCCACAGTGCAGGAGGCAATTCTTGAATGCCCAAAGTGCTGCGACGATCATACAGAACTAAATATTCCTGGGACACATATTGGCCTACTATTCTTATCATCTAGTTCCTTGAAAGAGTTTCTAATCTGCTTACAAGCAAGACAGAGTATGATATCCTACTGATGAGTGCATTCTTTCTCTAAGGAGAAGAGATATTTCAGTAACTTACAGGCTGCCTGTTTAAAAGAGGCAGATTCAAAGGTTCTGTTCAAAACTTGCTTTAACAGTGTACTGCTGTATAGCTCAATACTCCATAGCAAACTAAGCTTTATTCCTTGCATGAAAATTCAAACCAACCAAAAGCCACCTCCTTTTTCCCCTTTTCTTACCACATTTGCTCTAGTTCGTTGCTATCAAGTGATTGCAAGATGTGCAGCTGCTGCTACTTAGTTTTGTTACGTCTTGGGGCTGGCTTCTATTTGGTGGGTGACGTAGATGGATGGATGCTTGATGGCCTGTAGCTTGGTATCTAAGTTAGTAGGAATTGTTTTACACCTGCTTTGAGAGCAAAATCAAAGGAGCTGTGGGCTGTGTTTCACTGATGTCACAGAAGGTGCTTTGGAGGGGCTTGTTTTTGCTGTTTCAGGATAGGTGAGTGACCCCATTTATCTGTTTTATCACATGTTGAAGAAGTACATAGTTTTGCATGCTAATTTAGGAGGGGAGGGGAGAGGGACAGGTAACAATGGGCTCCATGAAGTTTGTATCTTGGAAAAGTTTGGATGTAAGGATTATTCTTGTGATAATAATGATGCTCTCTCTCTCCCCCACCCTCTTTTCTCCCCTCTCTTGTTTTCCTCCTCCCTCCACTACCTTCCTTCTGCAGCCTCTGGAAACCTCCTCTGGAGTTACCCCCACCCTCTCTGCAAAGGACGAGCTCCCCTGGCTCCCACTCAGACCCCCGAACTCTAGGGAACAACAGGCTGTTTTGATCCTGAAGCCCCTCCAAAGGAACATATGCTCACACAGGTTTCTGACCAGAGAGACACTCTTTAGCAAGCACTGGGACATCTGCCTGCAGACATGTACACTCAGGAGCACGTGAAGCGCACACATGAGACTGCAGTGTGACACTCCAGCACCTCCCACCCCAGTTCACCAGAGCTGCCTGCCCCAGTGTGCTTCCCTGGTTTGTTTTCTAGTCCTGCCTCTCTGAGGTGTGTTGGCAGCTCCAATACCAAGGTACACCGATATCGCTGCATGCGATACTAGCCTGCTCGCAGAATCTGTGTTCCCTTTGATTTAATGATTCACATTAAAGTCAGAGATGAAACTACTGGCGTTTGAGGATTTGGAGAGGGAGATAACACCGTTTGAAAGATTTAGGGTGATCTCAAGGCACGGGGCAGGGGAAAGGGCAGGGGAAAATGGGCTGTGTGATGGCTTTGGTAATAGGCTTGCAATGGAGAGCATGATATGGAGATTTGATGTCATGCACCTCACCGAGCATCCACTGTAGTAAGACCAGAAATTCTTTTTCCGGGGGCTAGCATTTCTCATTTATGACACGCACCACTTCTCAACGAAATTACTGACTTCTGGTGAAAGGTCGGTTGTTTGAGTTGATTCATTTGGAATAAGAAAATGAAGGAATTGGGATTGGGGGCAGGTGCAGGCAAGAAGGAGAGCCTGAACCCTTTTTTTTGGTGCTTAACGGGGGATGACCTCAGGGTGCACACACCAAGTGAAGAAAAGAGTGAGTACAAAACATCTCTGGAGAGAGCAGCCACTGGTAGGAAGAAGTGCAATACCTTAGATGAAAATAGTGTGGAGATGGAAGGCCTCTTCCAAGTTCAGCTGCAACAGACTTTGGCTGACGAGCTTCCCAACCCATTTCCTCTGTCAGGGAATCAGAGACGGCAGTACTGTTGGAGGAATCCTCTGCCCCACAAAGCGTGGTGCAACCAAGCTGGGTGGTGAGGGTAGGAGCCTCTCCAGGGCAGATAATCCAGGGAAGGAGTGAGGACCATCTGTCCCTCCATCAGCATGCACAGGACAGGGCATCCTTCAGTGCCTCCTGGCACAGACAGGCAGGGGCACGGCCATTCTGTGTGTGGTGCTGGCTTTGTGTCAGCCCTGGGGCTGGTGGAGGCAGCCCTACCTGCCTTGCACTGCTCACGCAGGGGCTGTGGCCCAGAGACCGGTTTGGCATGTCTTGCCAGTCTCAGCTGGGTGAGATCTGTGCCCTCAGGATCTGGCACTCTTGCTGAGGTCTGGAGAGGCTTCTGAAGTGGTGGGTATGTGGGATCCACAGCATACACCACTCCTCGTGCTGCTTGCCTTTGCTGTCACCCCAGGGCAGGAGAACAGGGCTGCCCCAGGCCTGGGGATCATCCTGCTGATGGTTGTTACCATGCTCTGTTGTTGCATTCTTGCTTCAGCCTGACCTCATTGCCTTCACAGCTAGGAAATGTCTCCAGCAAATTAACACAAGAGCTGCTGGGGTCCCTTCTGCAAAGGAACCGAAATACATGATGAAACTGTGTCTGTTGTGGTGCTTTATACACCTCCCTGAATTAGTAGACTGGGTTGGGCTGAATTACACACCACCCTTCATAGGTGCCTGCTGAGGTTATATTCTAGTCTTCAATAGGAAGCTCCCTGGAAACTCCTCAGTCATGGCACCAACTAACCTGGATCTCTATCAGATTGTCAGAGCCCAGCTCTAACCCTCTCCTGAGTGTATGCTGGAGGTGGTGTTTGCTAGGCTGGCTTTCCAAACAGCCACATGGCAGGTCCAAAAAGCTTGGACGTGAGCCGAAAGCAGGAGCTAACTCTGCAGTGACACTGTCTAGTGGAGCAGTAGTGACAGCTCATGCCAAATGGCTGAGGCGTCCTCACAGCAGAAATGCCTTTAGCATGTTCCTCTCTCCTGACCATAGTGTTCCTGGTGCACTTCTCTATCTCCCAGAGAAGACAGTCCAGGGAACCAGAGAAAATGGTCTACAGAAGATGTCATTTGTGGGCAGAAGGGATGTAAGACTTTCTCCTCTTTAATTTGCATATGCATCAACGTGGTGGAAAAGGTGTGTATGGATCAGGGCTATTTCTATGTACGTGTCTCTCATATTGTAACCTTTTATCAATTCTTTCCAAATCTCAGCTACTTTGCAGGTCTGAAAGGCTGTGCTGAGTTCCTGAGACTAATTTGTGTTTGGTGGCCCTGTAGCTACAATGCTCCATTCTCCTACTATTACCTTCTATTCTGGGCAGTTGTTCAAAGCAGTGCAAAATTGGATGCAAGAGTACTGCCATGCTCCTGGTGTCTGTTTCACTTCATGTGAGCTTCAAAGAGAACAAGCCAACAGCCAGAAGAGCTGCTCCAGGCCTGGCATGGGAAGGAGATTAATTCATTCTGATTATTTAACAGGAGCACTAAAATGAAATCACCAGGGTCTCCCTCTGAAAGTGCCTTGTAGATAGGACTAGTGATGTTATCATTGGAGCATTGGCTAAGAATGACTCCTTCCTTTGCCAAACCTGAACCACGGTTTCCCCTTGATGAGGAAAAACAATACTTCTCACCTTTAATATGAAGTTCTCAGGACACTTTAATATAAAACACAAATGAATCATCCCAAAACTCCTGGTGTAGGAAGAGTGATATTGTCTTCTTTCATACAGATCCGAAACTTGAGATTATATGACTTGCCCGTCTCACTTTCAGAGATGGGTACAGAATCCATAGGATAAAAGTCCCAATCCAGTCTTTTAACTGAGAGGTTTTGATGTAACCAATCAACCTTGTACTCACCAAACTGCCGCACACTTCTTTTCCTTGACATCCTGTCCCTAATGCAGGAAGTGTAGATGTGGCACTTCGAGACGTGGTTTAGTGGGCATGGTGGTGTTGGGTTGACAGTTGGACTTGATGATCTTAGAGGTCCTTTCCAACTTTAATGATTCTATGATTCTAAGTGAAAAACCCATCCAGTTTAACGGTGAAAGTATCATCTGTGAGCAGAGAGCAGCAATAGGTTTAGTGCTTCTTTTCGGTTTTGTGTATGCCTGCATGCTCCAAAGGCAGTGCTAGGCACAAGCAACAGGCAGCTCATAGGAGACGTTTGTGTTGCCGGGGAGAGTGAGGTTCCAGGGCAGGCATGACATCGTCCTGCTGTGGGAAGAGCACAGGGAAGTCAGGCTGTGCTTTGGCAGGCAGAGATTGCTATCCTAACACAGATGCAAGCAAGCAGCTGGTGGACCTTGTGCTGCTTTGCGAAGGCATGATGAACAGGATGCTGTGCCCTGGCTAGGATGAATTGGCTGGAAAGGTGCATATGGAGTTGTGTCCTTCACTTTCCCCCCTCTCCCCAGTAACACCTTTGTTGCTCTGAGTGCTCCCAGGTTTGTGATGAGTGTGGTTATGAACCTGTGCAACTCTACAGCTTTCCACCTGCACCACAGTCCAGTGCTTCCAGAGGTGCAATGTGCCATGATGTCCCATTCATAAGAAACAAAAAGCCCCATCTCAACTTTGGAGTGCTTTTCTCTGCAAAGCATGCTAGTAAGGCATAGTCCCTATGCTCAGAGGTTTGCCTGGTATTTGCATAGGAATACCTATCCCTATCTGCACCTACTGGATATATTTTTACTGCCTTGTGCTTGAGTCTCCTTACTGCCCATAAGAACAGAATTTAAATGGGAACACAATCTCCCTTCTGCTTCTGGGTTTCCTGACTTTGGAGTGCCCACTAGCTTGCTTCACGCTGGAGCCAGCATAAGAGTCAACTCGGAAGCAACCTGGAGAGTTTAATGTGTCAGTATAGACACAGCTATTTTTCCTTGCCTGCAAGAACTCTGGATCTACAAAACTCCAGGCAAGAGTAGTGTATTATGGAGAAGACCATTATCTCTCTCAGGATGAGAAGGACTTGACTGCTTCTACTCTGGGTAAGGTAATTATTGCTGAAGGCATATACTCTACAATGCCTGTCCCTGAAAATGCAAAAAATTGTCTTTAGGCTTAGTGCTTTAGAAACCTGTGCAGTATAAGAAGCAGAAATGTATTACTGGTCTTCTGTTGTCTTAGCCTGAAAAATGTGCATCTGTCATGTTTCAGATAGGTGCCCATTGTAGACAGGGGGAAGATGGAGAGAGCAAGGAAGGACAGAGAGAACACATTCTAGCTAGTACAAGCTTTTGCCATCATTTGTAACTTAAGCATCTTCTGAGTGACGTGAGTCACAGCCATTTTCCTTCTATGGCACAATACTTTTATCCCAGGGGACGAATCATAGAAAACTACTAGAAAACTACCTTGGAAGTTTTTCTCTCTCACAGGTAGAAAATGTTTTACATGGGGACACAGAAGGGGTTGGGAGAGACCCATGATTACATGTTTACCTAAATGGGGGAGATAGAATGCATTGTTTCAAACCACAGGCTGCATCCATAGCTCAGTGAATCCCTGCAAGACATTCCTGTGACTTACTTGCTATCAAAAGGCAGTGGTGCTGCACAGAACTTGCCGACAATGGATGACTCATCCTTCCTCCAAAACTGATTCTTGGGGAGATACTTCAGTGTCACACTGTTTATCTGGCAGAGGGGAACTCTGTGGGCCATCAGCCGTTTGCCCATCTCCTGGTGCTTAGGTCTGTAAGGCAGGGTGAGAGATGTGAGGGAGAACATTCAATTAACCTGCAGATGAAGACCATATGCAGATGTGTTGAAAGACTGGAGGAATCTGGGGTATTATCGTGAAGCCCTCACATACTAAAATGGAGTGAGAAGACTCATCTGTCAAAACAGGGCATTGCATGAGAGTCTTACTGGCTCTCTCTCCATGTTTTATCTCTGAAGTCAGGAAAATTTCTGTATAAATATCCTTCTTTCCATCACACAATTACAACAACTCTTCTTGCAATCGTGTATAGATTGAAACATTGCCCAGATTGCTACAAAGAGGTAAG